TTTCCACCCTCCTGCACACCTGTCACACACCTCACTCTGTGTTCACACCTACAAAAATGAACGACGGATGCGTAAAAAAATAACAGTGCATACCAAAGAAATACACAAAAAATAAACACCAATATTCACCAAAAAATTACGCCAAAAAAATAATGACTAAATCTGGTAGAAATAGTAAAGAAAATACATCACGTTTAACAGATATATGTACATAAAACATAAAAGTGAATAAAAATACGAAAAAAAATACGAAAAAAACACCAAATCTAACAAATAAATGCGCTGGAGAGAATTATAGAAATAAATACACGAAATACGGCGGAGATAAATGCGAAGAAACACGCCTCCGAATAAAACAAGCAAGGAAAAAACAAAAACAAAATTAATAATGGAAAAGCAATGTTAAAAAAAGAGAGAAAAAAATACATGACTGAAATACAACAACATGCAAATGAATAACTACGGATATGACAGGAAAAAAAACCACCCGGCCAGACACAACCACACACGATAAAAATAAAACAACTGTATCGACCAAAGCAAAATGCAAATAAAACACCGAAGGTTAAAAAAAAATATATAAATAAAAATAAACATTCAAGTGAACACAAATCACAAAGAAAATGAAAATACATCAGCAAGTAAAAGAAAACACCGAAAACATCAGAAAAACACAAATAAAACAAGTAAACACTCAGTCGAAAGCAAATTAACAACAGATGGCGCTGAGAAAAAACACAACGACATTCAGTATATATATAGATACCCTCCAGACTACCCGGTGGTAACTACCCAGTCAACAAGCTTCAGCTGTAACAAGCCATTCCCATGCCACTTGTTAGGCGCGCCTCACTGGCTCCAGGGCGGCGCTCGTCAAGGGGTGGACCTAATGAACCATTTAGTTCAAAGCTTTGGAATGATGTAGGGTGGACAGTGCCAGTCCTTTTGTGGCGCCCGGCGATACTGCCAACTGCTTCATTGTGTCCCTCTGTGTGTGTGTGTGTGTGTGTGTGTGTGTGTGTGTGTGTGTGTGTGTGTGTGTGTGTGTGTGTGTGTGTGTGTGTGTGTGTGTGTGGTTGTGTTGTGTGAGATCGACTCTTGTTAGTGTGTGTATCAGTGAGTTTAATAATGAAAAACAAGAGACAAAACATAGACGAATGAACGTAGCAAGAAAGAAGGAACGTGAAACGACAGGAAAATGATTAAGAGAGGTGGAAACATAAAAAAATGGAGAAGAGGGTGGAGAGGAAGAGAACAGGGAGACAGAGAAAAGAATCAGAGAAAGAGGCAGGAAGAGAAGGAGAGGAAACCAGCCATTTCTTTTACTTCCCAACACAAAATCAACTTAACTTATAAAACTAATAAAAATAAAGATCGAAGTATATTTATTTTATATTCCTATAAATATTACAGCAAATTACCACAGTAACTATTAATCATTTTCAATAAGATTATGTCACAGTGTTATTAAAATCACACGTCATTTTTATTTATTTTCTTTATTCATTTTAATTGTTAGGAGCTTGAGGCAGCGTTCAGCACAATCAAGCCTTGAAAGTAGACGAGAATGACGAAGAAAGATGAGGAAATAGAACAGGAAAAATATAGATTCCCCAGGGCATTTCAATATCATGTTTTAAACCTCAAGTAATTCCTTTTTTTGGGAGATATTTCAAATTTTCTCTAATGATGTCTTGTTTCGTATAAAATACTATATAACATTGTAATGCTGTAAATGAACTGTGTAAACTATGAATCCTTTCTGGCAACTATTTCAGGATCAGTGTTTAATATATTTGTGTTTTTAGTTAAGAATTCTGATCATTACTATTTGAATAATTTCAACTTTTTTCTTTACAATAAATTAATCTGTAAGCTTAACACATCAACAGTAGAGAGATGTTATTTTTTTATTTGTTGTTGTTGTTGTTGTCTAATGATTGAACCATCGTAGTGTACACTCTGAGAGACCTGAGTTATTGGTAAGCAAAAACACTTTATATCAACAGCATAATGCAAAAACATCAAACGAGTATTTACTGTAACTCAACTGTAAATACTCCTCTGTAGCGAGTGACCACACTAATCCACTCATCCAACCTCATCCTCCACCCAACCACAGTAATCCACTCATCCTACCTCAACCACCACCCAACCACAGTAATCCACTCATCCTACCTCAACCACCACCCAACCACAGTAATCCACTCATCCTACCTCAACCACCACCCAACCACAGTAATCCACTCAACCTTACTCCTCCCTCGCTCCACCACCCACATAGAGGCGCCTTAGTGAAGAGATAAGTCGCTTCATTCCGGAAATGTTTTGAGGAGTCTGACGTCTTCGCCATCATTGGTCTGAGATGAAGTAAGTAAACTACTACTACTACCTCGTTATGTAAGTATTGTATAATGCTTAAAGTTTAGTCACTGTCGCTGGTCTATGATGAAGGGACGGGATTTGTTCTTATTCATTTTCTTATTGATTGTCGGCCACAGGACTCAAACCAGGGTCGTTGGGTCAGAAGGCGAGTTTTATATCCGCTCGACCGCCACACACCCCTTTAATCAATAGCAATAAGTTAAATAGGAACAATAAGTGAAAAATAAAATGAATAAGAGAAAAAAAGTGTTTATGCCGAACAAGTTATACCTCACGTTTTTTTTTTCCTGACGGAGCGATTTTGTCAATACCTCATAAAGAGAACCTGCCTCATATATTTCTCTTCATCTCCGCCATCTCTATCACCAGAGACCAACAACCCTCGCCGCACCCCCCTCCTCACTCCTCCCCCCTCTCATCTCTCGCCTTGTTCATGCTGTCCATATTTCTGTCACCGAGGGCTTAAGGGACGTACATGCTCTTGTTATTTATCGTGGCGTAACCCATCATCGGGGCGACCAAGTTGTAGGAGGCGAGATACGTAGCCCTTCTTCCTTTTAGGGGGTCCTTCATCACCGTCGTCTTTATACCTGTACAGAGAGCAAAGATCATCCTCTCCGTGTCGACCAATTTTATGACCTATTCATTTATTTCGTGGAGGCAAAGTAGAAATTACAGGTACAGATACAGATCAGAATAGGGATACATGTGTAGAAACGAGTGTAGATACAGATTAGTTAGAGGTTTAGATAAAGGTACAGGCACAAATACAAGTATAAAAACATGTTCAAATACAGATACAGTGTTACAAGTACAGATGCAAGTACAAATATAAATACAGGTACAGTAACCTACATACCGTAAACACAGACGCAGGCAATAATATAAGTGCATATACAAGTACAGGTATAGGTACAGGTGCACATGCAGATTCATTTATAATAGTTATAATTACAGGTACAGTTGCCTCAAAAAGCTCCTTTACCCCCTGTGATAACGTTTACCTATATGTGACGGAATCGCAATACTAAACTAATAAATAAATGGGTAGTAGTCTTGTTACGATGGAGCTGATTGGTGGACAAATTCAGGTGGGGTTCCTGCACCAGAGGTAATGTGAGCACTTTACCCTCGCCCTCCGACCGCCTGGTAACTGAAGTAACCTGAAAGCTTCTGTGCCTTTGTGAGATGTAGTTACATGCAAACTCAACATGCATGCAACCAGTAGGCAGTCTAACACACACTCAGAAACCAGACCTTGATGACGAAACTACCAGCTAAGTTATTGTTAATTATCTTATATTTTGTATAATATTCCAACCAATGTGCTGTCCAGTGATAATTATTCTAAGTATTTAAGTTTATTCGTGTCACCTGTTTCTACCAGTCATTAAGGGGCACAGAAGGCAGAGAGAGAGAGAGAGCCCCACCAGTAACACTCAGCGCAATATCAACCTTACTAAATCGTCTCCACTAATTCAGCATCACTATGTTAGTACCAATATCTCAGCTCCACTAACTCAGCTCAACTAACTCAGCACCCATAAATCCCCCTCACTAGCACCACTAAATCAGCTTCACTAACTTAGCACCTCAGTACCAAGCACTACTAAATCTCCTCCATTAACTTAGCACCAGTTTACCAGTGCCAATAAATCAGTCCCAATAACTTAGCGCCACTAACACAGGAGGAACGAGTTGCTTGTAAGAGTAACACGCCACCTCCTCCTCCCGTGTGTGTGTGTGTGTGTGTGTGTGTGTGTGTGTGTGTGTGTGAGTGTGTGTGAGTGTGACAGAGAGAGAGCCAGACAGACATATGGAGAATAAGTGAGAAGAGGAATATTGAGAAGGCGAGGAAAAACAAGAATATAGATTGAAACGAAAAAGGAAGAAAAAAAGAGATCGCGAGAAGGAAAAATAATAAAATAGGAAGAGAAATAGAGAATAAGATAGTCACAGTCAGACACACAGAAAGAAAGGAGAAAAAGAAGAATGAGACAAGTACTGAATAAATGAAAGGTATATAGAGAGAGATAGAAAGTCCTATATTTCTGTCAATTGGTGATTAGAAAACAATCATTGTATTCATTATTGTATTGACTCTAAGTACACTGAAGGAAGATATTACTGGCTGTCAACTTGTTACTCATAGAAGAACAAGGAATAAATGACCTAACCTAACCTGCCGCTTTTATGGGTTCACGTGAAGAATAGACACCCCAGGTAACCTAACCTAACATTACCTAACTAAACCAAACCTAAACAATCACTAACCTAACCTAACCTAACCTAACCCATCGAATCCCACTGAACTATAACTTGTACCTATATTACTCTCAAGTAGTACATAAATTCAACAATGATTACATGTACTCAACAGGGGGTTCAAAGTAGTGTCGCTCGCTTGTTTACATGTACTCTACGTCCTCTCGCACCTGTTGTATCTATTCCCACACCAATCATCTGTAATTACCTATTACTTCATGTCCTTCCCACCGTGATTATATTGAAGATTATCACACGAGTTCTCTCTCTCTCTCTCTCTCTCTCTCTCTCTCTCTCTCTCTTCTCTCTCTCTCTCTCTCTCTCTCTCTCTCTCTCTAATACGTGCGCACCCTTACAAGCACAGTGGCGGCACACAAGCGCGGATAAAACACGGTAGAAGGTACAAGGCAGGAGGCACGGGTGGGAGGCACGGGTGGAAGGTGAGCAGGAGGCACGGGTGGGAGGCACGGTGTGGAAGGTACGGACAGGAGGCACGGGAGTGTGGGCACGGGTGGGAGGCACGGAGTAGAAGGTGCAGGAAGCACGGGTGGGAGGCACGGGTGAAGGAACAGGCAGGAGGCACAGGTGGTAGGCACGGGTAGGAAGGTGCAGACGGGAGGCACGGGGGAGGAGGGACAGGTAGAAGGTGCAGGCAGGAAGCACGGTAGTAGGCAGGGTGAAGGTACAGCAGGAGGCACGGGTAGGAGGCGGGACAGGTGGGAGGCACGAGATTAGAGGTCGAACAGGAGGCACAGTTGGGAGCAGGCAGGTGAAGGGTACGGGCAGGAAGCACGGGTGGGAGGCACGGGTAGGAAGGTACGGGCAGGAAGCACGGGTGTGGGCACGGGTAGAAGGTGCACGAGCAGGAGGCACGGGTGGGAGGCACAGATTGGGAAGTGCGAACAGGAGGCACGGGTGAAGGTACGGCAGGAGGCACGGAGTGGGAGCCTGGGGTGGAAGGTGCAGGCAGGAGGCACGGGTAGTAGGCACGGGTAGAAGGTATGACAGGAGGCACGGGTGGGAGGCACGGTGAAGGTGCGCGGAGGCACGGGTGGGAGCCTGGTGAAGGTGCAGACGGGAGGCACGGGTGGGAGGCACAGGTAGGGCAGGAGGAGCACGGTTAGTGGGCAATTGAAGGTGAGGCAGGAGGCACGGGTGGAGGCGGATTAGAAGGTGCAGGCGGGAAGCACGGGTAGGAGGCACGGTAGAAGGTGCAGCGGGAAGCACGGGTGGGAGGCACGGAGTGGAGTGCAGGCAGGAAGCAGTGTGGGCACGGGTGAAGGTCGACAGGAGCAGGTGGAGGCACGGTTGGAAGGTACGGGCAGGAAGCACGGGTGGGAGGCACGGTAGAAGGTGACAGACGGGAGGCACGGGTGAAGGTGCAGACAGGAGGGCACGGTGGGAGGCACGGGTGAAGGTACGAGCAGGAGGCACGGGTGGTAGGCACGGGTGAAGGTGCGACAGGAGGCACAGGTTGGGGAGGCACTGGGTGGAAGGTACGGGCAGGAAGCACGGGTAGGGAGGCACAGGTGAAGGTACGGGCAGGAGGCACTGGTAGGAGGCACGGGTGGGAAGGTACGAGCAGGAGGCAGATTTGGAGCACGGGTAGAAGGTGCAGGCAGGAGGCACGGTGAAGGTACGAGCAGGAGGCACGGGTGGGAGGCACAGGTGGGAAGGTCAGAGCAGGAGGGCACGGTAGGAGGCACAGGTGGGTCAGTTAACTGGTCCATAAAGCATCTATATTGGTAAATCAAGCAGACCATTGTTAGGAGTACCATAAATCACGAGAGGTAACCAGTTCCTCTCTTCCCCTCCTCCCTCCGTTCTCCCTCCCGCCCTCTCCTTCCTCCCTCCCTCCCTGCACCCCTCCTCCGTTCCCCCCTCCCCTCCCCTCCCTCCTCCTCCCCTCCCTCCTCCCTCCCTCCTCCCTTCCTCCTCTCCTCTCCTATTTTCTCCTCTCTCTCTCCTTCCTCATTCCTCTCTTTGCTCTCTTTTCTTGTTTGCTACCTCCTTCTCTCTCTACCTCTTCCCTCCTTATCCTCCTACTTCACTTTTGTTCGCTACTTCCCTCTTCCTACCTCATTTCTCCTCCTTCCTCTCTCCTTGTCTGTTTGTTAATTCCCTCTCCCTCCCTCCTTCTTTTCCACCTCTCACATGCTCCCTTCTTCTTTCCTTCTTATTTTTTTTTCCTTCAACTCTTCTCTCATTCTTCTATGTTTGCTACCTCCTCCCCCCTCCCCCCTCCTGTACCTCCTCTCTTTCTTTCCTCTCCTCTGATCCTTCCTTCCTTCCTTCCTTCCTTCTCCTTTCTTCATTTACTCCTCACATTTCCCTTTTCTTCTCCCTTCCCTTCTCCTCTCCTCCCCATCCTTTTTCCTCCATTCTCTTCTTCTCGTTCCCTCGTTCCCTCCTCACTTGCGATTCGTTTTCTCCCTCCTTCCTCCCTGCTGTTCCCTGTTTATCCACTTATCTTCTTTCGTCTTTAACACTCCTCTCTCCCCTCCCTCCCCTCCCTCAACCCCTCTCCTCTCTCCCTCCTTGTTGAAACCTTCCCCCACTTGAAAGCCTCCTCCTCCTCCTCCCTCCTTCTTCCCTTCCCATACCTACTCCTTTCCCTCCTCCTCCATACATCTTCCTCCCATTCCCCATCTCCTCCTCCTCCCCACCTCGTCCTCCTCCACCCTCGTCCTCCCCTCTTCTTCCTCCTCCCCTCCTCCCCACCCTTCTTCCTCTCTCCTCCTCCTCTCTCCCTTCCTCCTCCTCCCCCCACACCTCTTTCTCCCCTCTTCTTCCTCCTCCTCCCCTTGGCAATATGATAGCATCTTTTTATGAGTAATTGCAGTAATCCCGACCGACCAGCCTCGCGCTACGTATTTATGCTAGGCGCTGATGGATGCCGCCCCTCATACACACATACTCCATGCTCCATCATACACCCATGCTCCATCATATACAGCCATGCTCCACCAAAAAGTCATGCTCCACCATAAAGTCATGCTCGATCATTCACTCATGTTCCACCATAAAGTCATGCTCCATCGTACAGCCATGCTCCACAATAAAGTCATGCTCCATCACACGCTCATATTCCATGCTCCTTATGTACACAAACGCCCTCACAATCACACCCTCCCACGGTCTCACACTCTCATGCTTCCTGACACATAAATGACCCCACACACACACACACACCATTGATATCTTCCGCCTCACCTTTGTTTGCTGTGAAGCTTAACAATGGCTCCCTAAACGACAGTGTCATAGAGCGACAAGAATCCATCCATCAAGTGACACTCAGTTACCTGGCCCTCTCAGCTCCCTCTGGTCATCACCGAGTCCCCATCTATCAGTTTGTGTAAGACCAAGTTCCTGTTAGCCCTCCTCACTAACGCCCTCTGCTCCTCTCGTCCTCCTCACCTAACGCCCTCTTCTGGTCCTCTCGTCCTCCTCACTAACGCCCCTTCTGGATCCTCTCGTCCCTCTCCCTCTGGTTCTCGTCCTCCTCACTAACGCCCTCTGCCTCCTCTCGTCCTCCTCACCTAACGCCCTTCTGGATCCTCTCGTCCTCCTCTAACGCCCCCTACTGTCCTCTCGTCCTCCTGCCCCACTACTGGATCCTCTCGTCCTCCTCTCTGCCCCTTCCTGGTCCTCTCGTCCTCCCTACGCCCCACTACTGGATCCTCTCCTCCTCCTTGCTTCTGGATCCTCTCGTCCTCCTCACTAACCCCTACTGGATCTTCTCGTCCTCCTGCTTGCCCCCTTCTCCTCCTCTCGTCCTCTCCCTTCGCCCTTCTGCCTCCTCTCGTCCTCCTCACTAGCCCTCTTCTGCCTCCTCTCGTCCTCCTCTCCCTTAACGCCCTCTTCTGCCTCCTCTCGTCCTCCTCCCTTCTTGCCCCTTCTGGATCCTCTCTCGTCTCACTAACGCCCCTTCTGGATCCTCTCGTCCTCCTCCTAACCCCCACCCCTCTTCTGCCTCCTCTCGTCCTCCTCACCTAACGCCCCCCTTCTGGATCCTCTCGTCCCCTCCTCCCTTGCCCCTCTGGATCCTCGTCCTCCTCACTAACCCCCCTTCTGCCTCCCCTCGTCCTCCTCACTACTTGCCCCCTTCTGCCTCCTCTCGTCCTCCTCTGCACCCCTTCTACCTTCTCATCCTCCTCACCCCCCTTCACCTCCTCTCATCCTCCTCTCCTTGCCCCCTTCTACCTCCTCTCATCCTCCTCCCTGCTTGCCCCTTCTGCTCCTCGTCCTCCTCACCCCCCTTCTGCCTCCTCATTCTCCTCACTAACACCCCTCTTCTGGCTCCTCTCGTCCTCCTCACTAACGCCCCCTTCTGCCTCTCTCGTCCTCCTCCTTCTTCCCCCCCTTCTGCCTCCTCTCGTCCTCCCCTCACCAGCCCCCCTTGCCATCCTCTCGTCCTCCTCACTTCGCCCCCCTTCTGCCTCCTCTCTGTCCTCCTCTACTTGCCCCTTCTCTCACCTCCTCTCGTCCTCCTCCTCTAACGCCCCCTGCCTCCTCTCGTCCTCCTCCTGCTGCCTCCCCTTCTGCCTCCTCTCGTCCTCCTCTGCTGCCCTTCTGCCTCTCTGTCCTCCTCCTGCCCCCCTAGATCCTCTCGTCCTCTCCCCTAACTCCCCCTTCTGCCTCCTCTCGTCCTCCTCACTGCCCCCCTTCTACCTCCTCTCGTCCTCCTCCCTATTGCCCCTTCTGGTCCTCTCGTCCTCTCCTCTCGCCCCCCCTTCTGCCTCCTCTCCCCTCCTCTGCCCTCCCTTCTGCCTCCTCTCGTCCTCCTCCCCCTCCCCCTTCTGCCTCTCATCCTCTCCCTGCCCCCCCTTCTGCCTCCTCATCCTCCTCCTGCTCCCTTCTGCCTCTCTCATCCTCCTCTGCCCCCTTCTGCCTCCTCTCATTCTCCTCACTTACGCCCCTCTGGATCCTCTCGTCCTCCTCACTAACGCCCCCCTTCTGCCTCCTCTCGTCCCTCCCTCACTAGCCTCCCCCCTTCTGCCTCCTCTCTCCTCCTCTGCCCTTCTGCACTCTCTCGTCCTCCTCACTAACGCCCCCTTCTGCCTCCTCTCGTCCTCCTCACCACGCCCCCCTTCTGCCTCCTCTCGTCCTCTCCTTACGCCCCCTTCTGCCTCCTCTCGTCCTCCTCTGCCCCTTCTGCCTCCTCTCGTCCTCCTCTGCGTCCCCCTTCTGCCTCCTCTCGTCCTCCTCCCCACTAGCGCCCCACTGATCCTCTCATCTCCTCTCCTACTTCCCCCTTCTGCCTCCTCTCGTCCTCCTCTCACTTGCTCCCCCTTCTGCCTCCTCTCGTCTCCTCACTAACGCCTTCTACCTCCTCTCGTCCCTCCTCACTCGCCCCCTTCGCCTCCTCTCGTCCTCCCCTACCTGCCCCTTCTGCCTCTCTCGTCCTCCTCACCCCCCCTTCTGCCTCCTCTCGTCCTCCTCACTCTACGCCCCCCTTCTACCTCCTCTCGTCCTCCTCCCTGCCCCCTTCTGCCTCCTCTGTTCCTCCCCTCACTTGCTTGCCCCCTTCTGCCTCCTCTCGTCCTCCTCACCTGCCCCTTTCATCCTCCTCCTGCTCTTCTCCTCCTCTTCTCCTCACCCCCTTCTACCTCCTCTCATCCTCCTCACGCCCCCCTTCTGCCTCCTCTCATCCTCTCCTTCTGCCCCTTCTACCTCCTCTCATCCTCCCCCCCTTCTGCCTCCTCTCGTCCTCTCCCACCCCCCCTTCTACCTCCTCTCGTCCTCCTCACTACGCCCCCTTCTGCCTCTCTATTCTCCTCCCTACACCCCCTTCTACCTCCTCTCATCCTCCCCCTTTAACCCCTTCTGATCCTCTCGTTCTCTCACTAACCCCCCTTCTGCCTCCTCTCGTCCTCCCCTCCTTGCCCCCTTCTACCTCCTCTCGTCCTCCTCACTAACGCCCCCTTCTGCCTCCTCTCGTCCTCCTCACCTAACGCCCCCCTTCTGCCTCCTCTCGTCCTCCTCACTAACGCCCCCTTCTGGTCCTCTCATCCTCCCCCTAACGCCCCCCTTCCTCCTCTCGTCCTCCTCACTACTTGCCCCTCTGTCCTCTCATTCCTCCCTCGCTAACGCCCACTACTGCCTCCTCTCGTCCCTCCTCACTAACGCCCCTTCTGCCTCCCTCTCATCCTCCTCCCCACTAACGTCCCCCCTTCTGCCTCCCCTCTCGTCCTCCTCCCACTAACGCCCCCCTTCTGCCTCCTCTCATCCTCCTCACCCCCTTCTGCCTCCTCTCATCCCTCCTCACACCCCTGTCCTCTCTTCCTCCTCCTGCTCCTCCTTCTCCTCCCCTCCCTTCTCCTCTGTCTCCCTCACTAACGCCCCCTTCTGTCCTCTCGTCCTCCTCACTGCCTTCTCCTGCCCCCTTCTGCCTCCTCTCCTCCTCCCACTCTTGCCCTCTTCTGCCTCCTCTCGTCCTCCTCACTAACGCCCCTACTTGTCCTCTCATCCTCCTCACTAACGCCCCTGCTGTCCTCGTCCTCTCCCACACTTACTTCTGCACCTCCTCTCGTCCTCCTCACTAACGCCCT